ACAAGCAGGGGGAGTGGGAGAGGGAGAAGCAGGCTTCCTGCGGAGCAGGGAGCCTGGTGCGGGGCTCGATCCCAGGACCCTGGGATCATGACCTGGGCCAAAGGCAGACGCTTAACGACTGAGCCACCCAGGCGCCCCTACTTTAGGTTAATCTTAAGAGACATGAACATTATTAAGAGGGTGAATACAGGTTAAGGGTTTGGTGATTATGTTTAATTAGAATTGACAATCTGTAATAACCCAAAGCAGACTAAGTGATTGAGGTAGGCCAAGGCTGTAGGAAGCGGGAAGGTTAGGTTTCTTAGAGGGGGAGAATTTGAAGGTATAATTAAATCTGTTGGCCCATTTGGGGACATGGTTAAGTGAAAAGCTCTGAGGTTGTGAGGGACTTTTAGGGGACTTTCAGAGATACATGAATCTTGTTTCAGAGGACAGCTGTCGGAATTTTGGCATTTCAGTCTCCATTAAAATTATTTTCTTGTAAACATGATTTGAGTCTGTGTTATGACTTTGGTCATGAGGTGTTCTATTTAAGGGGGGCTCGCGGGTGTTTCATATATGTGTTTGTATGTAGGTCTCTGAAAGAGGGTTAGGTATGACTTAAAAAAGTAATCTGTGTGTTTGAGAGCTTAACCACATTCATTATAATTTTCCTTGTTCTTGTTTTTTTTTTTTTTAATATTTATTTGAGAGAGAGCATGAGCAGGGGGCAGAGGGAGATGCAGACTCCCTGCTGAGCAGGGAGCGGGTCTCGATCCCAGAACCCCGGGATCATAACCTGAGCCGAAGGCAGATGCTTAACGGACTGAGCCACCCAGGTGCCCCTTCCTTGTTCTTGTTATCAAGAACTGACTTTCCTTTAACTACCCCATGCCCTTGCTTCCACTCTTGTTTACATTTAAACAATCCATTAAGCCTGAGCCAGAAAGTTAGATGAAGCTGGGCTGATCTGAAAATGTAACATTCTTCTAGTTGGAAAGATTGCTTTTCATTTTCAATTCAGAGGAATCCATGAATTAGTGTTGGGTCTTTTTCCATTTAGCGCCATTACCTCCCATTTTCACAAATAATTTAGCACAACCAGTATTAGTATATACTGAGTTCGTCATGGGTTTTACAGTATTCACAAATAAAAGCATCTAGTCACAGAAGATCTCTTCGGTCATGTGATTTGTATCCAGTAATGTAAGTTTTATTCGTGAAATCTCAACAGTCTCCCAACCTTGTCTTGGACACCTCCTTGACCTTGAGGGTTCCCTTTATTTCTCTCTAATGGGCTTGTTTGTAACAAGGCACTTCTTGTCTTGAACCCTGAAAGGAAGAAGATTATCATCGATCTAGGATATTTAAATTCTAGATTAAAATGAAATGGTCTGTGAAGAATTAATTTCTTAGAAATCAGATTGAGCATTAAGGTAAACTATAAACTTAACTGTCTCAAAGTTTTAAACTTGAAGAGGATCGTTTTGTATAGCTCGGGGACTCTGCTTCTGTGACACCTCTAGCTTTTTTGTGGCTTTTAATCCAGGCTGCTGGGGTAGAGCGGACCTCCCAGAATACATCCGCTGTCACTTTTTCTCAAGAATCATTTAGTTCATGCAAGGGTTTAGTTGGCAAGGTTGGTTATATAAGAACCATATGGACTAAGAGAGGATTAAGTTTTAGGGAAGAAATATTGCCTTTACTTAAAGAGTTGTTCTAGCCCATTTTGACCATCCCCTTGCACACTAACGATGTTGTATTTTTATGTTTTTAGGTTTTTGACAACTATGCAGTCACAGTTATGATTGGTGGAGAGCCATATACTCTTGGACTTTTTGATACTGCAGGTGAAAACTTGACGTCTTTCGGGTTTTAGTCTATAACTATTAAAGTTGCTGGTTGTCTGTCTTTTTTTGTGGACATTTTGGGAAACTAGCATATTAGCAAACCACTTGCCTTTTGTTAATACTTAGTAGGATCGTATATTATGATGGCTGATGCTTGACTCAAGAGGCAGTCCCAGACCTGGAATCACAATAGGAGTTTGGAGTTCCTTGGGTGGATAGTGTGGAAGGAAATAAAGTAGGGTGAGAGCAGAGTATATTAGGCAAGCTGTATTATCACCCTCTGAAATTTGAAAGCTTATTTAGGATTTGTGTCTATATAATATATGCTTCTTATAGACATAGTTTGTTATTTTATACTACATCTGAAAATGCTTTGAACATGAACCAATACCTAGCTCACACTGACATTTGTGGTCAGCTTTTGAAATTAAAGGAATAAATTGCTTTCTTCCTTAAGTATACCTAATTCCTCAGTGTTATTTCCTCGTTGTTTTAACAGTGGCTGTGCATCTTAATTTCTGACTTCTCTCTCTGCAGTCTCTGTTATTATCAGCTTAATTAGCCAAAGGTAAATTTCAGAAAGGTAACCTTTTCGTATTTAGGAATTTTAAGTGCTTCACTTTTTATGAGTTACTCTCTCCCTGTCTGCCAGCTGACATACTGCTCTTACGGAGTATGTTATACTGCTCATTTTGAGGGACTGTCTAGATTTAGTTGGGAAGGTGAAATGGAGAGACAGTAGGACAGTAGTAAGCAGTTCAGTTTAGAGATCAGTGGCTTTCTAATTGTGTTTTAGGCCTTTAAAATGTTTATGAATTAAGAATTACAAGAGTAATGGTGTATTGGAGGAAACTTGGAAAATAGAAAAAATAATGACCTGTACTTCATGATAGGTGAGGGATTTTTCTGTGTTCATGCGTGCCCTTGGAGGCAATTTATATGCAGAAAAAAGATAATTTATGGCCTTTTTTTTTTTTTAAAGATTTTATTTATTTATTCATGAGAGATAGAGAGAGAGAGGCAGAGGCAGAGGGAGAAGCAAGCTCCCCGCGGAGCGGGGAGCCCGACGCGGGACTCAATCCCAGGACCCTGGGATCGTGACCTGAGCTGAAGGCAGACGCTTAACCGACTGAGCCACCCAGGTGTCCCAATTTATGGCCTTTTAGGGTTGAAAATTAATTTTAAATTTTGTTTTTAAATTTCAAATCAGTGTTTAATCAGTATTTTGTTTTTTTAGCTTTAGTGAAGTAAAATACAATAGAATTCAGTCATTTTAAGTGTTCAGTTTGATTAATTTTACTGACTAGATAGTCATGTAACTTCCACCATAATCAACGTCTATCACCTAAAAAATGTCCTTGTGCTCTTTAAGAATCCCTTTTTGATTTGGCCCCAGGCAGCCACAGCTTTGCTTTCTATCATTGTGGTTTTGCTTTTTTAGAATTTCATATAAATGGAATCCTATAATATGTAGTCTTTTGTGCTTGATTTCTTTCAGTTAGCATCATCTTTTTGAGATTCATCTATTTGTATGTGTCAGTAGTTTTTTCTAATTGCTGAGTAGTAGTCCCTACTGTGAATCTAGCACAATTTGGTTATCTGTCTACAAGTTGATGGACGTTTGGGTTCCAGTTTTAAGCTATTGTGAATAGTGGTGCTGCGCACATTTGTATACAAATCTTTGTATGGACATATTTTATTTCTCTTCAGTATTTAGTTTTGGAGTGGGTAAGCCTTTAAATTTAGTTGTACAACTTAATAAATTTTTTTATTAAAATAGTCACTTTTAAGAAATCATTCTCAAGGTGGCCAAGGGTCCTTTGATGAATATTGGTTTATTTAACTTATGTTGATAAGACTTGAATCCCAATCAGCCTCATTTACAACTGTGTTAAATATCTTCTGGCACTTTAAACTGCATTTATAAATTTAATATATTCAGTTTTCTGTTTTAATTCAATTTGTTTGACCTGACAAGTGAAGCATTCCCAGTCTTTTATATACATAGCCTCAGTTAGCCTGATAACTTATGATTTCCTGTATTTATGTTTTAATTTATCATTAACAGTATTATTTATAACCTTTATAAAATTCTTAACATTTTTCAACTAAAAAGCCCCAAGGTTAAGATCAGTTACTCAGTTATACATTTTAAATTGGAATCAGAGAACAAATCTTATCATATTCTTTAATATGGCAGATTATTTTAAATATTATAGGTACTGGGTGTTAAATAAGGATAGATTATTCCTAAATGTAACTGAAAATTAACAATAATAGTATTTGATTTATTTCATCTTTATATTAGATTCTGAATCTTTCTGGGGGTTAAAAAACATTCACTAAGGAAATGATTTTAACAGCCCAGGCAAGTTGGGGGTTTTCCATCTTCATTGTTGAGGTCACTTTATAAGCCACAGTTTTTTTTCTTTTTTGACAGGCATTGGAGAATTGGGGCAGTAGGCATCCGTAGTGAGTCTCTGTTTTTGATACACTTAAGGGGAGACTTGTATCCTTCTGCAGAGGCCTTAATCTCAGAGTCCCTGTCCCTGGTTCAAGTCATGCCATTAACTTAGTTTTCTTTCTGCTAAAGATTTCATCCCCACTGAGATGGCCTCGGACAGTTTGATTGTGTTTAATCTGCTGACTTTTTGTCATTTTGTTCTGAATTCTCTTTATAGCATTCCTATCTCACCTCTGGCTACAATTCTCTCTTTTTTTAGTGTGAAACAAAAACTGACAAGGGAGAACTATACTTCTCATACAAAGTCTCTAAACAAAGCTAATGGCTTATGTATAAGAGGTTTGGGAGGTGCTGGCTGCAACTCTTACAGATTTATTTAATACCATATAAGATCAGAGATAGGTGGATACCTGGCTGGCTTAGTCGGTGGAGCATGCGGCTCTTGATCTCAGGGTTGTTTAAGCCTCAAGGTAGTTTAAGCCCCAGGTTGGGGGTAGAGCCTACTTATTTTTTTAATTTTTATTTTATTTTATTTCATTTTTATTTATTTATTTTTAATGATTTTTTTTTTTTTTAAGAGAGGGAAAGAGAGAGAGAGAGAGAGAGAGAAGCAGCCTATCTGCTGAGCAGGGAGCCTGTTGTGGGGCTCGATCCCAGGACCTGGAGATTTTGATCTGAGCTGAAGGCAGACGCTTAACTGAGCCATCCAGGCGCCCCCTATATTTTTAAAAAAATTTTTTAAGATTTTATTTATTTATTTGTCAGAGAGAAAGAGAGAGAGGGAGAGAGAGATTGAGACTGAGCAAGCAGGGGAAGCAGCAGGCTGAGTAGGGAAGCTGCCTGATGCAGGACTCCATCCCAGGACCCTGGGATCATGACCTGAGCCAAAGGCAGACACTTAACCGACTGAGCCACCCAGTTGTCCCTAGAGCCTACTTAAAAGGAAAAAAAAAAAAAAGATCACAGATAGGACTCTGTCTCTGTCTCACAGCTTTTATTTCTGTGGTCACGACACTAAGTTTTTGTTCATGAGTTCCCCCCACAGTTATTTTCTTCTTTTTTTCCTTCACATGTTGTACTGTTGTGTATTTCGTTCTGTATTTAGCTTTTTTTTTACTCAACATGCTTGTCTTGTTAAATTGTTGTATAATTGTTGTATTTTTGTATAATCATCACCCCACTGTCAGTTCCTTTCTTTCTTTCCTTTTTTTTTTTTTTTTTTTAAAGATTTTATTTATTTATTTGACAGAGACACAGAGAGAGGGAACACAAGCGGGGGGAGTGGGAGAGGGAGAAGCAGGTTTCCTGCAGAGCAGGGAGCCCGATGCGGGGCTCGATCCCAGAACCCTGGGATATGATCCTAGCCGAAGGCAGATGCCCAATGACTGAGCCACCCAGGCGCCCCTGAATTTCAGTTTTAAATATGAGATTCTAAACAAGGGAAAGGTCAGCAACCCATGAGATGTATCCCAGCTTTTTTGGCAAATGTTGGAAGTTAAGCAGTGAGCTGGTGTGCTGTTAGAGTAGGTATAATTTAAGACTTGTAGTCAAGACCTGACTTGGACATAGAGTGCGATTTTCTTGATCATGTTGCGTACCTTAAAGGATACTCAGTGATGACATTGACTCTATCAAGTGAATAACAGCTATTTGTGACATACTTAGAGGATAAATTTTAGCTGGATAAATTATGCTTGGATCATGAAGAATTTTACTCATATTAAGGGACTACACTCATTCTTTTTCCTTAAATGGAGATTCCAGGCTGAGGGGAGAGAAGCAGCAAGGGCATTTCGATTTGTGCCACTTAACCACATGCACAGGGACCTCAAACGATTGCAGTAAAGGCGTACTTTCAAACACACCGAGTGATGTCAAGGTTTGCAGGTGGTGAGGAGGGTAGGGGAAGTCAAGGAAGTTGGGGGCAGGACCTGTGAGCTTTTCAAACTGTCATGCTCAGTTATGCTAAATCCCCTTTGAAGGCTGTGTGCCCCCACCCAGACTCTCCCAGGCAGGCCTTTGCTCCTACTGACACTGCCATGCCCTGTCCCTCTCCTATATGCAGTGAAAAACTACTACACTATGAATAATACAAGGGGAAATGACACCAAAAAGGGGGGAGGAGGGGGAGTCTAAAAAGGTAGGAAGCCAACAGAATAGTTACAAGAAAGGGAAGCAGAGAGAACCAGTAAAATTCGAAGACTGGGCTTAGGTTCATCCGGAGGCTTCCTAGAGCTTGGTAGCATTCCAGCTCAGTAAGTCTAAGGTAATTCATCATGTCACATATGGCGATAGTTACTTCTAACATATGAAAGGATGGTAAAGGCAGACTGTGGGTGGGTGCTTATTAGGTAGCCATATTGAACAGGTAAGAAAGCACCTGGTTTTAAAAAATTGCAACCATGGAATTTCTGCATTATGAAGAGAAAAAAATTTATTATTTTTTTGAAGACATGCACACTGGATATAAAATGGTGTCCTTTTGAGAAACTGTGTTACAGCTTCAGAGGAACAGAACATCCGAGGGGTGCTGTGGATTTGCCCTTTGTCACATTTCCAGTCTTATTGCTCCTAATTCAGCTTTGACAACAGTGAAATGCTGATGGTTCTCTGAACAAAACACAGTAATTCATAACACCCCTTCAGCCTTGAATTTCTCCCTCTACCCTTACTGTCTTCTGAGTCTCCATCCAGGCATTGTCTTCTTGAGGAAGTTAACATTCTTTAAAAAAAAAAAAAAAAAAAAGCACTTGAAGCAGAAGTAGAGGTAAGGTAGCCTCATTTCTGTTTATTGAACAATTTCATTTCTGATTTTTTTTCTCCTTGGGAAAGGAAAAGAAAGATTTCTAGCTTTGAGGGTTTGTTTATTACAAATAAACGGACTGACCAATACTGCTTTGGACCTAGTATTCAAAAAAGAATGGCTATTTGTTTTCTGTCTTCATCTGAGTAGAAGGTTCATTGCATGTAACACATTGGACACTCATTTAGATGCTCTTAGTGGTGCTCAGGAATATAGAGTTGGATTTGTTTTTGATGTGCACAAACACGGATTGATTGCAGCAGCTGAATGACTAAAAATGAAACCCTTTTCTAGTCTATGTCAGGCTTAATTTTTTTGAAATATATTCATTCCATTTGAATAGAGAATAAAGCTAAGAAAAGGTGTGTGAATGTACTTTTTTTTTTTTAATAAGGCTTGGTTAGTGGCTTTAGTGTAGTATCTGTTCTTACCAGCTTTATCTTATTTTAAAATTTATTTTTTGTTTTGTTTTATTGGAGCTTTGGTATGTAATGTGTCAATGCTCCAGCCAGTGTTAGAGCTCAGGCTGTTTAGATTGGGAGAGTTAAGGAGTTTGGCTGATTTTGTTTTCTTTAAGCCCATTCTTTTCTTTTTAAATCTCTTCCATGTCTGTAATTATACATTCTACATTATAATTTAAGAAGTGAAAGTTACACTTGTTAAGTGCATACCTTTAAAGCCTTTGACTCTGACCCTAGAATATTAAGAGTAAGCATGCAATCAATATTAGAGGTGGTGATGACGATTTTATTTTTTTGTAATCTCCTTCCATTTCCCTTTTCGTTTAACTTTTAATTTCTTTATTGTCCTGAAGATAGATCCTTTATTGTCTACTCCCAATGTATTGCTTATTCAAGTGGCAATAACAGTAATATCTTTAATTATCATGTTTTGATAGCTACCCTAAATTCTTGTATTCTCTCTCAATGCTGGCAAAAAAACATTTTCACTGGCATACAAAATATTTAACTCTCCTTTTCTCCCCTTTAAATATTTTTTATTGTGGTAAAATATATATAATACAGAATTTACCATTTTAACCATTTTTAAGTGTACAGTTCAGTGGCACTTAGTACTTAACCATTCTTTTAAAACATAGGATTGCTGTAGCTCATTTTTGAAATTGGAGTGTTAAACCCTGTTCTGGCAACTCCTCCCCTCCCCTCATGGTTTTGGAAATGTGTATCGATACTTTTTTTTTTTTTTTTTTAAGATTCTGTTTGTTTATTTGACAGAGAGAGACACAGCGAGAGAGGGAACACAAGCAGGGGGAGGGGGAGAGGGAGAAGCAGGCTCCCTGGGAGCCCCATGTGGGACTCGATCCCAGGATCCTGGGATCATGACCTAAGCCGAAGGCAGACGCTTAATGACTGAGCCACCCAGGTGCCCCGGAAATGTGTATAGATATTTTAAAAACTTTTTATCTGGAAATAATTTTCAAGCCTACAGAACAGTTGAGAGAATTGTACCAGGAGCTTCCATACACCCTTTAACCAGATTTACCAATTAGCATTTTGCCCTATTTGCTTTATTAATCTCTTTCAATACAGTATACACATGAATTGTTTTTCCCTGAGCTGTTTGAGAGTAAGGTGACAGCGTAGCCATTTAGCCTTGAATAATTATGTATTTCCTAAGAATAGAGACATTCTTGTCTAACAGTAAGCAACTTATGGAAATGTAACATTGATACAGAACTTGAATCCAACATCTCTATTCCAGCTTTGTCAGCTTAGCTGAGTCCAGTGTTTTCTGCTTTCAGTACAGGATCACATATAGCATTTAGTTGTCATGTCTTTTTAGTCTCTTAATTTGGATCAGTTCTTCAGCCCCCCCTTTTTTCGTTTTGTTTCTCATGACATTATTTTTATAGGATACAGGTGCATCTTCTCCCTTTCCTCCCCTTATAAAACATTCCACACTTTGGATTTGGTCTGTGTTTTCTCATGATTAGGTTCAGATTATGTATGGAATAGTACATTAGGGATGTGTCTTTCTTAGGATATAAATCTAGGGGCAGACGATATTCATCTGCCATTCACTGGTGATAGTAATTTTAATGACTCAGTCAATGTGATGTCCAAATTTCTTGGCAGTATAGTTCCATTCTTCCCCTTGCGGTTTATCAACAGTCTGTAAGACCATACAAATATCCTAATTTTCACTAGGATAATCCTCACATAGATGTGGCATCCATTGATTCTTGCCAAGTTATTTTTTTTCTTAGGCGTTCTCATTTTCATATACTGGTCTTAATGCACACAGTAACTAAGCCTGTGAATATGCTTTGGTAATCATGATGGGCAGTGGATTTTGTCAGCTGGGTTTCACTGAGACTTTTGTTTCCTTAGATGGTTTCACTGTGATTATTTCTTAACCAGATCTGAGTAGGATTGATTTTAACCATTTCTGTAGCAATAGCTCACTGTTTTTATTACGTTGTCGTTGGGTTGCTGATGGACACAAAGATTGAAAACTACAAATTGGTAATAAAAATTAATGTATAATGGATTCATTGCTGTTTTCAGGGATTGAAATACTAAATAGAATTAGCTGGGTAAGAATGTCATCAAGTATTATATTACAAAAGCCATACATTTTATTAGATTAGTAAGTTGCTTTCTCAGTAATGGTCAGCATGCTGTTGGCTGCGTGCTTAATCTGTTGACTGACTCGTGATTTTGATGCTGTGAGGACACCAAGATTCAGTTGCTGACTTCTCCAATTTTTTTTCCTCCAGGGCAAGAGGATTATGACAGATTACGACCGCTGAGTTATCCACAAACAGATGTATTTCTAGTCTGTTTTTCAGTGGTCTCTCCATCCTCATTTGAAAATGTGAAGGAAAAGGTGAGTTGGTCAGATACTCTTGTCCTGAAAAAGCTGGCCACAGAACTTCTGTTGAGTTGTTGTAAAAAGCTTTAGAGGCTTGGGGCGCCTGAGTGGCTCAGTCGTTAAGTGTCTGCCTTCGGCTCAGGTCATGATTCCAGGGTCCTGGGATTAAGCCCCACATCAGGCTCCCTGCTCGGCGGGAAGCCTGCTTCCCCCTCTCCCACTCCCGCTGCTTGTGTTCCCTTTCTCGCTGTCTCTCTCTCTCTGTCAAATAAATAAAAAAAATCTTAAAAAAAGTAAAAGCTTTAGAGGCTTGTGGATTAATGCAGATGTATTTTTTAAAATACTTTTTCTCTAGTGGGTGCCTGAAATAACTCACCATTGTCCAAAGACTCCTTTCTTGCTTGTTGGGACCCAAATTGATCTCCGAGATGACCCCTCTACGATTGAGAAACTTGCCAAGAACAAACAGAAGCCTATCACTCCAGAGACTGCTGAAAAGCTGGCCCGTGACCTGAAGGCTGTCAAGTATGTGGAGTGTTCTGCACTCACACAGGTGAGGACTGTGTAGCCCCTTGTTTATTTACAGTTGGGTAGTTTCTTAAGAGTATCAGGATTTGGGGGTTATTTTTAACCGTGGTCTGCGGTGCTCAAGAAAGCTGCCCAGGAAGACTAGGACCAGCTTCATAGTATATATTCTTTTGCTAGACGTTCTGTGTTTATGGAGAAAATTATTAAGCTCTGAGTAAAACTCTTGTGTTGGTGAGCTCCCATATTGTACTGACTCATTTGTAGTAGTCAGGGATTGTGTTAAATTTTATGGGAGGGTTCCAGATTAGCACTAACTTACAAGAGAGTATGTGAATGGTTCCCCCTCCCTCCCAGACACTTAAATTTTTATCTAAATATCTGATCTTTTCTTACCAATTCTCACCACTGATGCTACAGTTTCTGGGGTAATTCAAATGACATAGGGAATTAGTCATAGTAATTGAGACTTTAATTTTAGAGAAAGCTGCCTTGGCTGTTTCTCAAGCATGCTTTATAAAAGCATCAGTTCTTGTGTTTTTAGAGACATTCCTTCCTCCTGTGGTCCTCTCTATCCTTCTGTCCCTTTCTGAATAATTTAATTGGAGCTCTTCTCCTAGTTTGATGGGAAACATCAGATTCTGAGGATAGGGAACAGTGTTAGAATTTATTAAGAGTGGGAGCTATAACTGATCCGTGTGGTTTCATCTTTTCCACCCTCATGGTGTTACTGACTGATTCTCCCCTTTGAGTACTGTTCTGGGGGCAAAGGAAAAAATTATGGAAATAGCACAGAAATATTTTATTCTCTTGGTACGGGTGCTTTGAGGTTTGAACACTGAGTAAACATGTCTAATTAGAATAGGGTAGGGCTAAAGAGGTTTCTTATAATTACATTAAATCCACGTATATGTATCATGCTTACTTGTTTAGGTAATTGCTCTTTTTATTAAGTTTTTTTAAACACTATTGGATTCTTGATTATATGTATACTAAGGCAAATGGCATATATAATTAACCTTTTATGCATGTACTACGTGTTAGTGTGTATGGCCTAGACATAATTTAATAATCTCCAATTCAGTGCTAGGTTGGATATTTAAAGATAACATTTTTATGCTTAGCTGGGTATTCCGCAGGATAACTTCCAGGTCTAAAATCATTCTCCCACCCCCGGTTTTCCTTGGCAGTTCAGTTCTATTGCAAAAGCAGACATTTTCAAGTTCAGAAGATCTTATATCCTCTCACACACAGCACTGACTGAGATTTAAAAAAAAAAAAAAAAGCCTGATGCTTGTGTTTTGACACCATCATGAGAAAAGTGAGAGGGGTGTGTGTGTGTGTGTGTGTTGGAGAAGGATATATGTTGAACACGTGTCAGATTATAACTGACTCTGTATGCATCCTTCGCATACCCCTCTCCTCCAAGTATGGGTTGCCTTTGGGGGAAATGGAGGCAAATAGACCATGTGGATCCATTTCTAGGTCACTGGTGAAGTTTAAAGAATTGGATGCTTCCATTTAAGATTTTTTACAATATGAACAGGTTTATACAGTAAGTCACTCACTTTGCAGACAGTAGGAATTTGAAAAGGTCTTAGCAACTACATTTTTCTTACCAGATTTTGACGTTTGGAAAAGTCAAAAGAGAAGATAGAAAATGGGGTGTCTGGTTGTGTTTGGGAGATAGAACTTTTAGGACTCTAGATTCTGTTTGTTGGTTCCTCTAAAACTGAACTCTTTATATCAGATAGTATGGGTAAAGCAAATATTTGTTTTGTTTTTTAGGGGATTAGTTATCTTTGTCAGTAAGCAAGAAAGGATTTGCTTTTTATGAAGGGGTGCCCTAGTTTCTCATGGTCCTCTTTTTTTCCTTTATAAAATGCTTTTCCCTTTCCACCCTCCCCTTTTCCTTTTATATTTGACTACCAGAGTTTGCTCTGAGATAGTGTAGAAAGAATTTCATAGGAACTTTACTTTTGTTTAACATTTCTACTTTGTAAAAGACATAGAAGAAAACTTTTTAACTTCTTTGCTTCTTTTTAAGTACTTAATGTTATTTCTCATTTATTTTGTACCTCATGGGATGTGTGGGTGCCAGTCTTCTGGGATGCCTAGGGTTGGGGTGGGAATAGCTGGGGTAGTCTGGGCCTGGTACTTGTTACTGGAGCTGTGTTCTGGGACTTACGGGAGATTTTTACTTGGAATCAAACTGACTTAAAGAACGCGTGAAACCTCCTTGGGTGGTAAACCTGTGGCTTCAGATTTAGGTGAGTTTAGGTGAGTCTGTAGACCTGGGCCCAAGGCACCAGTGCTGCTGAGTCCCACTGTCACGTTGGAGTTCTGCCTGAGGTGTAAGTGTGTTTCTGCATCTTAATCCCTGTAGATCTGAGAATATTCTTTGTTTTCACTCCATGCTTTATGCTCTGATATCCATGAAGACATCTTAAAGCATTGGACTGCTTGCTAAAACTCATTCAAGGACCCCATTCTTTGTTTTCCTATGACTTGGGTGGTGGTTACTTGCTCTAATAACATTACTGAATAACTGAAGTGTATGCTGTTTCTAGAGTCTGTTCCTTAAACTTCTCCCACGTGGTACTGTTGAACAGTTAACATTCTTTCTAAATGTCTGAACCATTTTGTTCTGGGAAACTGATATACTCTAAATCCTGATTAATCCCATCCAGATATGTCATTGAATCTAGAAACATGTAGCATGCCTGTAAGTCTATTTGTGTCCTTCAGTTATTCAGGGGCTGAATTCACAGAAGCCTGAAATTGTAATCGATTTAGTTCCAGAATGTGTGTATCATTCTTCTCATTGGAAATACTCGGGAGTTCTACAAGGCTTATCCAAGCCATCTGTGTTTTGTTTACATATCCATTTTTTTCTCCAGGCATTATTTTCATTAAAATGTTGTTTTTTCAAAGTGTGATTGTTTTAGAAGTCAACATACAGCATTTCCATAAAAATTGCTTTCTTGCTCAGTTAACCCTTTTTATGTAAGAAGTTTCTGTTCAGTTATCTACTGTCCTGATAATGGGCTTAAGATCTAGCTTTCTGGCACTTAATTTTCTGAAGGCACATTGCTTCTGTGAATTCAGCCCATTTAATCCAGACTGCTATTGTATCTGCTAGTCTTTCTAATCCTCTAACCTGGCTGCTATTCTCTCTCCTCCCCTCTGTCTTGTAGAGAGGTCTGAAGAATGTGTTTGATGAGGCTATCCTAGCTGCCCTCGAGCCTCCGGAAACTCAACCCAAAAGGAAGTGCTGTATATTCTAAACTGTTTTCTCCTTCCCCTCTTTGCTGCTGCTTCCTGTCCCACTACTGTAGAAAGAGCATTTAAAAACAAAGGAATAAAACCATCCTGTTTGAAAGCCTCTGCGTCTTTTTACTCACCACCTAAGAGCAACCTCTGTATTAGTTTTTGATTAAGAATGCAATATCTTATAGAATATTTTTTGTGATCAGTAGTCAAGTTGGACTTGTTTAATTTTCTGCTTCTTGAGTTGCCTGATGCTCAGAGCTTTTTGGTTTGGATTACTATTGCAAAAGGGAACTTGGTGTGGCATTAAGAATGTTCTCTTGGAAAAAATAAGAAGAGTTTTAACACTTCTTAGCTCTAGATGGAGAAAATAACACAAACATCATTTTACTCTTATGATCAATTGTAATTGTAATTGCATGACAAACTTTATGGAAAAAGGGTGACCTGCTAGTAGAGTGTAACGGGGAAGGGAGGATTCTTCTCTGGTTTTCTTTTGTGCAGTGAAACTTTGTGTTGCTATTGCTTTGGCTGTCTGTGCTGTAGTGGAGTATTTGTCAGTCTGGGGTGGGAAAGGTATTAATGTATCTGCTACTGCTTTATGAAATCATTTGTTACACTATCTTTTAAGAATAGCATCCATTTTAACAGTTGACTTAAGGTTTGTTAATGTCGAGATGTAAAGCTGCCACCTTTATATTTTCCTGCTTCTGATTTTATTGTTGTGAGGGAAACATACAATTGTGGTTACCTTCAAATTTTGAAATTAAAAATATACACGTGTTTGTATAAATGCCTGATGAAGCTTTATTCCTGTTGCACTGACTGGCTCTAGTTTTACATATGTATCAGGTGCCCACATTTTGCTTCCTTGAGCCCCCTGGCTCTGATCGGTGGGATGCAGGGAGTTCAGAGTGAAGGTCTTTGACGCAGCCTTGGTAGCTGCGCTCTCCATCCTTGCCTGCGCCTTCCATGTAACAAGGATGCCGCTGCCGGCTGCTCGCCCTTCGGTCCTGTTCCATACTCCGCTGTTTCATTGGAATGCAGAGCTGCTTCACTTGTTTTTATGTAAAATGTTTCAGCGGCATATTACACAACTCATTGAATGAGCAAATGACACATGTGGCTTGTTCGCTTCTTGTGACATACATTGGTCTGCAAAAAGCTTTCTCAGAGGACCACTGTCTCATTCATGAATATCCATTCCTCTGCTCCTGAATTGCTGGATCCTTCCAGTGTCCTTCCTGGACAGAACTTGGTGAAGTGGGATGATTGTGTTGAGATTCAGAGTTGTTTTAACGTTTCGTTCTTTGCTGACTCTTGGGGGTTTGAATGTTTTTAATTTGATCTTCGGCTTTATTATACTGAAAATCAGACTGCCCATTTTTTTCTTTCTACCCCTTTTCAGAAAGGCCTAAAGAATGTATTTGACGAAGCAATACTGGCTGCCCTGGAGCCTCCCGAACCGAAGAAGAGCCGCAGGTGTGTGCTGCTATGAAC